TAGAAAATTTAACATAAATTGGCAATAACTATTTGAAATCAATGGTTATTTAATCGACTACGAAGCCGAATGGTTTTAAAATGAATAACACACAATCGAATTTCATTGATAGTTCAATAATTGAAATCGAATCTAATTTAAAAACATACAAAAAAATAAATAATTTATTAGTAAAAATTAGAAAAGGTTTTGATTTAAAACGTTCTGTAATAACAAAATTTTCACCTAGTTATACTAGTAGAAAAAATATTTTACGATATATTGTTTAAAACCAAATGAGAAGTTATTATTGACAAGAGGCAAAAGATTCAAGTAAATAAGAAAATAATTTTCTTAAAACGAAAAGAAAAATTTCAATTAAATATTTTCTAGTCTCTTCATAATTATTGAACAATCAATATTATTTTTTCATAATAGACTTTATCAAATACAAACGTTAGTTGACCATCGATGGCGTTTTTGTAGAATAGATGCCTTCAACATAACACAATTTTCAGTCAAAAAGTAGATTACAAGATAACATCTAAATAATGATTCCAACGTTTAGGTGCGATTTATAATAGTGAAAATGTAAAAATTGAAATGAAATTTCTAAGTTCATATTTGGCAAGAGTGTCTCGTTGGAAATCGTTTCTAGTGGGACAAAAATGAACAAACATGCCATATAAAAACTTTCCAATCATACTTGACCAGTTAAGATATATAAAATAGATACCTTATATAATTTTTCAATTGTATATATCTAATAATTTTGACAAATAGCTTTTTTCCTATTCAAAATCTTAATATTTTTACTGGGATTTGTAGTTTTTGGTTTTAATGAAGTTTTTAAATTCTTGAATGCTGTTGCTGAGGACAAAAGTGACCAATCCTATAATATTCCATAACTGGCATATGGCTGATCAGAATATTACTACTTGATACGTCACGAGTTGCTCTAGAAAATGGTATAGATGATTTTATCTATTGAACGTTTGTTATTTGTTCTGACAAAGTTCTTTAATATGAAATATTCTCATCCGTTACAACCAACGAATAGAATTCAATCATTAAAAATAGAATTACTCTTTAATAATTTATCACCAGCAAATATTGGAATTGATTCAATAAATGAAACATTTGTCAGAATTCGTTGTGATTTATTAGATTCTATTGATAAAGAATATCCATATAGTCAATCGGTTACATTTGTAACAGACGAAAGTAGTATGTAATCAAAATTTGTTTTTTTTTATTTGACGATCTAATTTTTTTCTGGTTTCTTCAAAATCAATAGAGGTTTCCTTTCCTAGTGTTGATTATTGATCTGCACGAGTGATATGGCAACTGCCAACGTAATTAAATGAAATTCTAAATGATGTAACAAACTCGACTCTAGCTGAAAATTAGTTTATATTTGTAAGAAAATTGTCAACGATGCTAGGCGTCAAGAGCCAAAAGCTAATCACTTATGGTATTATATGAAGCGATAATAGTCTAAGTTAAATGATTGTTTATATGAATTTTTGTAAATGACTAATTTAGCTATATTTAATTTCATCGTTGATTTATTTAATAATAAAAAACAGATGATTTTCATTTGGAATATGAAATTTTATTCGTTTACATGGATCTGAAAAAAACAACGTTAAGGTGTTTTTTTTCGTTCTTTGTGCAAAAACTTGAGTAATCATTTATTAATAATAGAAAAACAAAGTAGACAGTAAAAACTCTTACTTACTAGGAAAACAAAAGAAAATTTTAAAATCGATCTGTTGCTTCATATTCATCAACAATAATTACATATGAACAAGAACAGACCACATGATAGAAACCCTATGATCGAATTAATGTATCTGATGGATGAATAACATATTACTTATTCAAAAGTAAAAACCAACTCCTTAATTTTAAATTGTTTTTCTAAAGAAAATCATTCCTCTTTCAGTTTATAGTGGCAAAGAAGTTTTCAATTGCAGGACTTTCATCTACTAATTCCATGTATCGACGAAACATTTTGAGAGAATATTTCTTAATTTTTGAAGTCAAAAGTATTTTTACAGGAATCGAATGATAAGAGCTCGCTCCTTAGGTATTTTTCGAGTACAATAAAAATAATAGTACCAACGAAAACAAAAACTGGATTTTGACAGAAAATAAGTCATATCTACTGATAGTGTTTGTTCAGATTGAATCATATATGTATATTTTATTTACTACTATCAATATTCAACTGAAAAATTGATTATATATCAGCAAATCAATCATGTGAAATCGAAATTTATCTTCAAGTAAACGTGTTGAAGTGATTTTTATTTTCCATTTTTTTTTCTTAATAAAGAATTTTGTTTCAATTGATAAAAATACTCGTTTAAAAGTTCCAATTCGATATTAGTGATTTGACTTCAACAGAAATATTCATTGGATGGAATAGAAATCGAATTTTATGAAAAATTTTTAATTTTCTGTACAGTTATTTGACTTTGTCTTAACGAGTTTTCATGTAATGACTGTACAGTCGTATTCAACAGACTTGTTGATCTTGTGTTTCTAAGATAACGAATATGTTCATTTGAATAATGCACATTAATCAATTTTCAAAAGTCGTACTAAAAAATAATTCTATGATTTATGATTCAAATTAATTGCTTTTGTTTTTTCGTTGATGATGACGATGAATAGAAATTTCTTCTGATCCAAAAAAAAAAGAAAGAAAAGAATATGTATTGTCCTTGAAGGACTGTATATGAACAAAGGACAAGTATTCACATCCATGCACATGAAAAACGATGAAATTAATTCGTGTCTCATCATTTCAATTAATCATGTTATGATTAATCAATTATATTTGAATGTGCACATCATCGTCAATTATCGTTCGTCAAATTGATATCAACATCATTAGAATGTCTTTGATGGGTAATGTTTATGTTTGAACACATATATATAAGAAACACATTTTCACCAGTATTCTCATGCGATTCGATCGAACAAATCATGACCATGCTCAATAAAGATAAAATATGACACTCACATGATTTATTTTTCACGGATTACAATTTTTTTTATATTACTTACAATAATTAGTATTATTTTACATTATGATTTTTCATGAATGACATACTGTGATCAATTTATAATTATTTACAATATTATAAATGAAATATATTTGCAATGCTACGTATGAGTTTATAATGCATTAAAATGTATACATTTATAATGAACTTTATTACATAATGTTATGTTAACCCTTTGAATTCCATAGTAGGAAAAAGAAATCTAAACATGTTTAATAATTATTATGTAATCTACTGGAATATAGCAATAAAGAATGTTCAACGGTGTGGATGTGCGGGTATCGAGGTAGTAGATATGAGTGTGTAGGTGTGCGCGCGTAAATCCGTATGCGAGCATGTTGGTTTTTATCTGGATGTGCCAGTGTCTAGCAGAAATAATTTGGGACGCAAAGGATTAAAATACATTAATTTCTGATGATATTTATTGATCGATATTATATAATGATGCATTCTTTTTAGAACGAAATCTATTGATTGGTGTTATTAAAATTCATTTCTGTACAATTCAATAAATGCATTATATTACAATGAAATTTATCAATTTTATGATGTATTAAAATGTTTTAATTTACAATGAAACTTATTGTGTGATATTGTTTTACAATGCATTATTTTAAAATGAAATATATAAGTTTATGATGCATTAAAATGTATTAATTTACAATGATATTTATTGAATGATATTATTTAAAAATGCATTATTTTACAATGAAATGTATACAATTTACGATGCATTAAAATGTATCAATTTATAGTGAAATTTATTATATGATGTTACGTTAAAATGCCTTGGTTTAACATAATATTCATTGAATGATATTACATAAAGATGTATTAAATGACAATGAGATTTATTGTATGATATTCTGTTAAAATTCATTAATTTACGATAATATTCATTGAATAATATTATATAAAGATGCATTATTTTAAAATGAAATGTGTAAATTTATGATGCATTACACTGTATTAAATGACAATGAAATTTATTGTATAATGTTATGTTAAAATGTATGAATTTATCATAATATTTATTGAATGATATTACATAAAAATATATTAATTTACAATGAAATTTATTGAATGATGTTATTTAAAGTCATTGCTTTACAATGCATTAATTCATAATAAAATTCATTCGTTCAATGATGTTATATTATGATTCATTTTTTTAACAGTGTTTTTGATTTCAATGATAATATATGTTAGGATATATTGATTTATGATAGAAATTTATTCTATGATATTTTTAAAATCCATTTGTTTTTTTTTGAATTATATGAAATTACAAAAAAACATAAGAATGTTTAAAAAAAATGATTTATTATTGATTTATACCAATAACAAGAATGGGTATGTTGCTTCAAAAATTATCTTATTTATCTTGGGAAAGACTTGAACAAATAAATAAATAGTTGAAAGATTAAAAAAAACTTTTCTGTTTTCTTGGAAGAACAATTCTAAAATTAAATTTTCATAACAATACTTACATTGAGATAACGTTAGAATGAGATATAGATGATTTATTTCGGATAAAATAATTTTTTTCTTCGTTGTTGTACACATTTAGTGTATATTATTATTATGTTAAGTCGATGTTGTTTATGTTAGAAGATAGATACCAATTTATATCACAGCCTTGTCAGGTAGCTTCATAACATGATCCAGAGAGAGATTCTGTTCGTCATGAAATGACGAAAGCAGTGTGGTACTCTGGAAGGCCTTTAATGTACGTAGGTCCCTGCCGTTATTATGTACGGTACACCTATGTACATTGCCGTACCAGTCCGGCGTGGTCCGCTCTGTGTGTACTCGTTTCATACTCATAGGGCCTCTCCCTGGTCGCGCGCGCGCGTACGCCTGAAAACGAGCCTAGAAAAGTAGGGAACTGAAAAAGAATCAAAACCAATTTATTGAGCAAGTAAACGAAAAAAAAATAATAAATTACATTTTCTTTCGAATTTTTTCATATGTTTCTTTATATTCCAAAAGATGAGGATGAGTTGTAGGTAATTTTTCTTTAGCTATTTCAACTGCTTGTTGAATATTTTTCATTGCTATATTATATTGTCGGGTAGATAAATATAATTTTGCCATATTATGAAAAACTACAGCTAAATCAGGATGATTTTTTGGTAATTTCTTCTCACGTATTTCTAATCCTTTTTCGAAATATGTCAATGCTGTTGAATAATCACTCTTTTCACGATAAGTTTCACCTAAATTTATATATGTCATTGCACATTCCAGAGGATTAAATTGAAGATTTTCTTGAATATTTAATGCTTTTTGCTGAAATGCAAGTGCCTTTTCATAATTACCCATTAGTCGATGAACATCACCAATATTACTGTAAGTAATACCCTGATAGGGATGTTTTTCAGGTAACGTTTTTAGATCTATCGCGAGACACTTTTCAAAACACCCAAGTGCCCTTGAGTAATCTTTCATACTGCGATAAACTCTTCCGAACCAATTATATGTTGAAGCAAAAGCTGGATTATCTTCTTGAAATGTTTGTTGTTGAATTTGAAAAGCACTTTGAAGAGCCTTTAGAGCTGCTGCGTAATCACCCATTCTTTCGTAACACGCTGCAAAACTCATGTGGCTACCAGCCAAATGAGGATGATTCGGAGGCAGGGCTTTTTCGAAGATTTTATGTGATTTTTCGTAAAATTCAAGTGCTTT